GAGAGAGAGAGAGAGAGAGAGAGAGAGAGAGAGAGAGAGAGAGAGAGAGAGAGCTGTGGCTCATCTGCTTCTTCCTCAGAATCTGGGTATCTGTTGTTTCAGACCTCAGAGTTGATTGTGAAGGGCAGTGAGGAATTAGACCCCAGAGTTCCCTGACATTCCAACACAGATCCAGCTGAGTGACAACCATCACAACATCTGCCCAGCAGAGCAAGGAGGGTCCCCACACTGATTTATCCTCATCCTGCATTGCAATCGTGAGTGTTCAGTCCCACAGATCAGGGCACCGGGACAGCTCCTATGTCCTTTTCTTCAGAAAGCCTTCCCTGGCCACCCCAGAGCTGTACCAGCCTCTCTTCTTAGAGGGTGTGGAACACATGTGGCTTGGGAGAACGTCAGTCCTTATATCAGGCTCTGTGCTAGGCAGCAGGAAGGCAGACGTGGACATTTGCATCTCTGCCTCAGAGTCCAGTAAGGGAGGGGTGGACCACTTACAGAGCAGATGTAGCACAGCATGAAATATACATCAGAGGCAAGTGCAGGGTCCCAGAGAGAGGAGTGGGTGGTAGGACCGCAGTGACACAGAGGGCTTCTTGGAGGAGGTGACGTTTGAGCTGCACTGTAATAGGTGCGCAGACCTGGTGAGGGGGAGATGCAGAACTATCCATGGAAAGGGAGCAGCACGAGGAAGGCCCATGCCTGCTACCCATTTACCCACTGGTTCCTTTTTCAAATACTGGGTTTCACTGATTTGATGATGCTATCGATTTTACCCGGCACCATCGTTGTACATGATTCTGAGAAGAAAAGGTAAAAGAAGGTGGGTGTGGTGGTACAATCCCGAAATTTCAGCACTCTGGAAGGCTGAGGCGGGAGGATCACAAGTTGGAGCCCAGCCCTAGCCACTTAGCGGCTTAGCAAGACTGTCTGCAAAGTATAAGGCGACTGGGGATTTAGCTCAGTACAAAGGCCTTGGGTTCAATGCTTGGTACTGCAAAACAAAAACCAAACCAAAGCCCTCTCAGTTGTATTACAAGAAATGCCAAGATAGAACCAAGATTCAGGGGCAATCACATTCCTTAGATGTAAAAATGTAGGAAACAATGTAGAATTCACAAAATGCCTAATCAAGAATCTTCTGCAGAGTACTGCAGGTCTTTCAGCACTGACAGCACTCCGTGAAACACGCCAGGTGAGTCAGTGTGGCTCAGTGAGTGGGCACGATCCTGACGAGAGGAAAGGAAGTGAGCACACTCTACACCCATGTAAGACACACTCCGGCCCTGCTGCCGTCTGCACCGTGAGGAGGGCCCACGGGCCTCGTTCCAGGTCTGCACTGTCACCTACCTGGCAACCCTGTGTGACACCCATCAATTTGTCCCACAGCGTGGGCCTCCTGAAATGTAATACCTTTTGAGTTGGGGAAGGGGATTGAGGGAAGGGGCTAAAAAATGTCCAACATATGACATATATGGGTACCAATTCCCCCAAATGCATGCAATTATTATGTGTTGCAAGCATATACCAATAAATTTTTTTTTAAATAGCATGTGGAGCTTGGAAAGTACCTGATGACTCAGTAGATTAGATAGCTACAGGACCAAGCATCCGTCTGTGTGTGTATTTTGGGGTGGTGGTGCTGGGAATGGAACTCAGGGCTTTGTGTGTGCTAGACCTAATGAGTTGCATCCTCAGTACACTGTCTGCATTTCTTCATAACCTCCCCAGGTGATGGGCATTCCAGTTGGAGAACCACAGGTCTATTGGGCCTCAAAATACTAATCGTCAATGAACATTCACACTTGGGGATTTTATAGATAATGCAACTTTATAAGAAAAATAAATAGTGATAGGCTAGTTAACTAATCCTTAGCAAGAAAATCTCCAGTGCAAGAAAGCCAGCCACAATGGACAGAATTAGCTAAATAGTTTTGAGGACTATCACATTTTGCAAGTCATGTGACTGTAGAAAAGTTGATTTCTCTGGTATCCTACCTAATGTCCCCAAATAGCATCCAATGCTAGTTGCTGTCCAGCTTTGCTCCCAGGGTTTCAGTTGTGATCCAGAAGCTTCATCTTAGTACTCCTCAAATACTCCCTGTTCAGCCTCAAGTACTATATCAGGCTCCTCGGGGCTCACCTAGGCTCCTAGGGTGCAGTTACTCCATCTCTCAAGGTCACCAGTGTGCCTTCCACCTCAGGACTGCTATACATGCTGTCCACAGTGCCCACCCTTGTCACCAGCTCTTTACCTGCCCAGCCTCTCCTTTCAGGATTTAAGTGAAAGGTCATCTCTGGAGAGAGACCTTCCCTGATTTCTAAATTCCACTGTAATGTGATTCTGCTGAGCCCTTCTTATCCTACCTGTTGTTCTGTGGTCAAGTTCTGAGTAGTAAAAGACCCATAGACACTGGAGCCAGAAAGTTCTGAGTTTCTGTTTTGGTCGGATTTGCCATCAGTGGGGGCGGGGAATACTCAGCACCTGCAACAGAGTCAACTTAATTAACTCATGGTTTCAGAGGTTTCAGGCCATGGTCCACTGGCTCCAAGGAAGGAATATGGCAGAAAAGCAAGTTGGAGCCAAGCTGCTCTATTCAAGGAGGCTGGGAAGAGTATCTCCAAAGGCAGGCACCGAGTGACCACTTCCTAACAACACATTCTACTACATCCCCGTGATCTAATGACCTTTTCTGGTCAGTCCAGTCTACTTGACAAATAAGATTAACTGGCACAGTGTCTCCCTGGCTGTGTCACCGTGGGTAGTTTACACAATCACTGTGAATATTAGCATACTCATCTGTAAAATGGGGATGAGACCTTACATGGTTAGACTGGGGTTAAATGGAAACAATGTACATAGCTCAGCCTAGTAAATCCTACTGTGGGCAGCACATCTGATGACGTGGGGTTTGGTTCTTGCTGGGCATTCGAGAAGGAATACCCAGAGTAACAAATATAAATGGCCAAGTTATTGGAAAAGGGCAGACTCTTAAAAGTTAATAAATAAGTACTCCTTAAGGTAACTTCATCTGCTCCAGTTCAGATTCACCTGAGTCAGTTTCCCAATGTTAGGTTGCATGAAACAGATGGATAAAACCCTGCACCAGATGCATTCAAAGCTAAAGAACAGATATGTGAGACGACCCCTCAAGGCCTACACTGGCCATCAGCCTGCTCTCATGTCCCTGCCTCATAAGCAGAGTGATCTGATAACAGAGCTGGACTTTGTCCCACAAGGCACCCTCTTGGTTTATTCACAGCAGCATAGAGCTAGGGGAAGGGGCAAATTCTGATCTTTTAAAAAGCTGGTCCACATTAAATAGCAGAACTAGGTCCATCTGTTGGTCAGAGATGGCTGAAAGTAGGGGCTTACCTTAATGTTTAGGGTGGGCAATCAGCCATTTTGGATTCAGATAAATAGTCAACCAGTCCTACAAGGTGAACATGGCCTGGTACAGAAGAGCCCACCCACACATATCTCGCCTGCACAGAGACACCCTTGAGGTGGAGGCCAGATAGGAAACAGCAGACAAGGAAGTTTCCAGTCAAGGATAGCAGCTTAACTCATATATTAGCCTTGACTCTCCCATGAAATCTCACCAAAACAACATTAAACTTAACTTTTTAAAAAGACATATACCACAAGGAGAGAGGGAACAGGTTAAGAAACAAGAGCAGCACAATTTTGGGAGCTGGAAAAAGTAGAAGGAAAGGTGGAACCCAGAGGAGTCCAAGGCTGAACAAACCTAAGGCAGTAATGGGGAAAGCCACGGTGCAAACTAGTTTCCTCCAACAAATCCTCAAAAGGTATAGGAATTGGTG